AAATCTCAGAGACAGAGACGGCAGAGAAACGCACTGAAAAACAAGGTGCAGTCTTATCAGTCATATTCAAAACTATGGGTTTCTTTCATAATTTTCACTGTATAAATCACAGTTAGTGTAAGATTATCAATGGCAATGAATAAAAACACCTCCATGCAATGGCATTGTTCATAATGTTGGACAGATCAGGGTTGGGAGCATTATTAATATTAGAACAGAGATGAAATGTGAGAGGTGATGTACTCTATCACCATTTACAAATTAGGCATTGAAAAAAGTACATATGCCTGGATGACTTGATTTGAATGCATAAATCCATGAGAGACATGACAAATTTAGTGAATGAAATCGAAAACCTCAAAACTGTATTACCAAAGTCCCTTTAAGGCAAGTCATTTTACTCGGCGGCCATCTTTGAAACGCCTCTCAAGCAGCTATTCAGTCATGCAAGTGCAGCTCCTATCTCTTTGAACCGCAACCGCAACCGGAGCTTCTTAATGCAGCTGCAGTGATGAGATACCAATTAACAACTGGATCTTTTATTCAGAAGCAGGACTGTTCCACTATATTGTGCCTTGCACTTTCTCCCATTCAAGTACTATATGTGCACCATCTTTGTATTATTAAAGTCTGTGGTGTTACTTTCAAAAGTCATTTAATTACAATATGTTTAATTAATTCTGAAGAGATCATGCTGATGTAAAAGCTTTGTCACGTTTCTTTAAAAAAATGAAATCTGTTTTTGCCGTTTCCCTGTTTTATTAACTTAATCATCTTTTAAAACAGCAGATTCGATTCTAAAAAAATTTTTGGAAACTCACAAATCCAACATGAAGATAAAAGCAGAACATATTTTTGAGGGCAAAGAAGAAGCACATCTCAAGGACGTTTACACAGAGCTCTTCATCACAGAGGGAGATATGAAAGATGTTCATCAGGAACATGAGATTCTGAAGATTGATGATGCTTTCAACAAGAACAAGCAAACACAGGACAAACCAATCAAATGCAATGATATATTTATATTATTAAGGGAAAACAATGAGACGAAGATTGTGCTGACCAAGGGAGTTGCTGGCATTGGAAAAACTGTCTCTGTGCACAAGTTCATCCTGGACTGGGCAGCAGGAGATGCCAATCAGAATATACACTGTGTGTTCCTGCTTCCATTCAGAGAGATCAACTTACTGACCAACAAAGATTTCAGTCTCCACGAGCTTCTGCTAGAATTCTATCCTGAACTGGAGGGCCTGGAGAAAACCAAGTTATATAAGGAATGCAAACTAGTGTTTATATTTGATGGACTT